CACACTGGAGTATAAACTTTTGTCTTCACTCAAAAGCTCTGACAATTAGTGGCGTCATTCACTCCTCATACTCGTTCTCGGAATGAAGCGCATATATTCGATTTGTGGAATGTTCGCTTTGCTGTTCATACTTCTTCGTATTTCTGTCCGTCCGTCTGTCTGTTAGCTCATCTTTATACCGCGAACCCATTGAAAATGGGAAATCAGGGTATAATGGTTTTGTGAAAAGTATGTAACAGGCAGACGGAATCATCGCAAACCCCATAAAGTATATCAATTTTTGATCAGGACGATGAGCTGAGTCGATATAGTCCGTCCGTCCGTCCGTATGAGCAAACCGATCTCAGAAGATATAAGAGCTAGAGATCTGAAGTTTGGCATACATACCAGTGTATACCATACGCAGTACAATAGCCCATCCGATAACTTTTTTATCGAGAATAATCGAAAAATCGACTTTGTTTTTTCAGCATAATTTGAACACGTTTAGACCTAGAAACTTCAGATTTACTGTTTACAATTGATCGATACGAAGATGTTGTAATTTACAGATTTTGGATACCACGCCCCCTTCGCCCACAATTTGTAAAAACATGTATTTCAAGTACTAGAGACTTGTGCCTTTCACTATGATAGTCCATCTACAAGAGAAATTATTCAACTAATAAATTCTGATAATATTGGCTGTTCTATCAGTTCGTCTATCGATTTACTCATTCCGATTCTCGTCTATTGAAGTGTTAAGATTTTCGTCGTCCAATGGGATATATATCGAGTATTACAGAATGGCTTGTGATTCTCCCCTCTGCGCCAAAATCGAGTCTTCCCCAGGCCCCTCAGTGCACCCAGAAGGGAAACCAAATCAGTTCGTTTGATAAACGTTGTTATCTCCCGATCTCAAGTGGGAAACAACTCGCGTAGGCTAGATTAGGCGACGAACTATTGTAGGAGATATTGAATGAGCAAATGGGCAGGAAATAGAAACCAAGGATCAGTTGAGGGGACTGGGTGGATGGGTGGGGCAGTTAAAGGTGTGATTATGGGTGTTTAACTGTGTTGCTTTTAAAATGTGTGTATGTGTGTGTGTGTGTGTGTGTGTGTGGGATGCGATAAGCAGGTGTCAAAGAATGGGTTACACTGTCCAACACGATCGAGCGAGTCAAACCCAATGATAAATTATAGTCTTTAATCGTATAAAATTGCCGCACATAAATAACAAAACGCATTATCATTGAACGTACTATTAGCAATCACAGTGACAAGCTACACACACACACACACACACACACCTACACCCCCCATATATTTATATATATTTGCAACTAGTGTATTTTTAGCCGTGCGTTAAGTGAACAATTATGCCAAAGCTCTCGCTCTCTCTATCTCACTCACTCCCTCTCTCTCTCTCTCTCTCTCTCTCTCTCGCTCTCTCTTGTCACCAACACAAGTGCAGCCAGGTTGATAAATGGGCTTTGTCTTGCGGCGCGCAAAGGCTCGAGATTAGCATTCGCCAGGGAACAGTCGAACTGTCCGCTCTGTCCATTGTCCACTGCGATCGGTTCGAGCTGTCGACTCGCCGTCTGCACTGCTGGCGGCTCATGACTCAGCTGAAGGTCATTACATGTGGGCGCATGGGCGTGGCATGCCACTATCTAGCGAATGTATTTGCCACATGTCAAGCACATTCCAGCAAGTCAGCTTGGCTTTAGATATTTGTACTATGTATAAATTTTTCTTTTTCTAGAAAATAATTCATAAAAAAAAATTACATAATTAAATTTAATACAAAAAAGTTGTTAATTAGCTATGTATAAAATATGTTAAAGAAATAAAACCTGATAAATTAATTTTTAGAGACTGTTACAATGTTTTAGTTTTATAAAAAAAATTATGTTAGGCATAAAAATTTTTTAATTTTATGAAAAATCAAGTTTTAGAAAGAAAAATAATAGATACAATAT